TCAGAGCTCAGGGAATGAGGCAGGATAAACATTAACAGTAATGAATCCTTGGCAGAAGAGGTCTGTTTGTCTCCTCCATACTGGGATTTGGCAAAGTGCTTGGACACACACAGACCTTGAAAAACTCTGCCTCTTGAAGAGCTGTTTTACTCTAACTGGACTGAAACACAGGGTTTCCTGCACAAGGGCTCAAGCCAAGTTCAGCATCTCTGAGAGCAGTGGGTCATGCATGCCAGGACCCATATTTTGCTTTGCTGTTAGAGGGTTGGTTGGCAGGGCAAATCTCTTCTGCCCAGTGCTGAATCCTGGGACACAGAAATCTTCTGCAGTGGTTGAATGAGAGTGTGGAGCTGGACTGGAGGTCCTCATGTGAAGAAGAGAAGTGGAAAGGCTACGTGGTGCATCCACCTGCTGGTGAACTCCCAGGGTCTCTCTCCCTTGCTCCTTTGCTATCCTCAAAGGCTGCTCTTTTCAAGCAGCACAGTGATGCTGCTGCTTGCCTCCAAGGCATCCAGAACACCTTAAGTTTTGTGCACAGCCCTGAATGACATCCCAAAGCAAACTGAACTCAGCAGATTAAAACATGTAATTGTTTTGTGCTGGACTCTACAAGCTCTGAGAGGCTGTAGTATGTGTGTTTGTTGTGAAACAGACCTCTCTGGTGATGATTATTTTTGTTACAGGCAGAGTTGGCTTTAGTTTCTGTGTGGAAGGTCCAACAATAACAGTGAGCCCTGCTCTCCTGGGGTGAAGGAAATCCAGAGGGGTTTAATCGGCAGGAAATTCAAGTAGGAGAATACCCTGCTTCTGGCCTAAGGTTTCAGCCTGTGCCTGATGAGCTGCAGAGCTGAAAAAACCCAAGTGTGGCTGAAGGTTCCTGGGGCCTGGCTGTGATTTTTTTTTTTTCTCTGTGTGTCCCCTGAGTGATGATTGCTTGTTACTGCCTGGGGGAGGCAGGAGGAGACTTCATCAGCCTGGGTGTCTTCAGCACTTTAGGGCAGAGAAAGAGTTGTCTACCCCTTACAAAGGGTGAGGAACTTTGTTGATACCCTTCTCCTTGGGAAACTTTGGAGTTGCCCACTGTACACTGCAGCATTTGCAGGAGTCCACTTCTTGTGATCTTCTCCAGGTGTTCCTTTCCCATCCCTATGGCTTGGTTGTCATCATCTGGTGTAGTTACCTATTGGAGTGGTACTGCAAGGAGAGGGTTGCAGGGATAATGTGAGTTATGTGGTGATCCGTAACAAAAGAGGGGATCTGCAGATCTTCCATCCTGAACATAGCCTGCTCCACCACTGCCTGGGAATGTCGACCTCCATAACCTCCATTGAGGAGCCCTACTGCTCTCCTGTGGCCTTGCCATTGGCATAGAACTTTGCTGGCCCCTCCACCTTGCGGACTGGCAGGGTCCCCAACAGTTTGCTTTCAGTGCCTACATTTTGCTTACTGAGCAATGGGATGTCCCACACACCTGGCAGGCTTGGCTTGTACTTCAGAATTTAATTTTAATTTTATTAAGTGAATTCAGGGCTGGCAAAAGCTGCCACAGTCCATTAGCTATGGAGCACATCTTGCTTCCAGAGCATACAGTTGGAGCAGTAAGGCATGCCACTCACTCTGTACTGTGCACTAAACAGGCTATATTTTATACAGAAAGACAGCGGTTGGCATTACTGTTGAGGCAAATCCTTTGCCCATTAGTGGGCATGGTGATAGTTTTTTTATTGTTGTTTTTGTTGTTGCTGCAAGTGTTCATCTGCTGCATACCAGTGAGTCAAAAGAGGAAAGGCCTGACAGAACAATTAAAGAGATATTAAAGTCATTTTGCCTCTTCAGATAATTCTAAGAAGTGCTGGCTTCCCTGGTGTGCTGTTGCCCATATGGACAAGGCAGCGCCATACTGAAGTAGCCCCCTTCATTTCTCTGGATCTTCCTGTAGAGGGATGAATGAAAGGACAAAATCTGTTCCTCTCAGAGACACAGATAAGGTTTCCTGCTGGTGGGAGACTTTCCCTGATGCAGAAAGATGGTGACATGTTTCTAGTGGTATCTGAACAGCTGAGGGATGTGCCTGGTGCTCCTATTCACTCAATGGTTTCACCTTCTTGTCCCATTTTGCTGAAGAGATCTCAGTTCCAGAGAGCTGGGCTCTAGCCTCTCTCGCTCAGGCTGTTCTCACTGGCACCAATGCTTTGATTTGGGTGCCAAGCTAACCTGAAATTAGGATCAAGCCTAGGGTTTTCCTTAGCTTGGTCTCGCTGCACTGTGATGGCCTTGCAGGGTAAGGGAGAAGTTCCAAGGTCAGTATAAAACTCTGTTTCTGCTCCTGAGTTTGTTTGTTAGGGAAGAGCTAGAGCAAGCTGGAGCCTGGTACCTCTGTTAACGTGGCAGTTCCCCTCCAACTGGTTGAGTTGCAAGGGCTCACAGGGTATTCACGGTATCCAGTGCGAGTAAGGGGCTAGCAGCTTCTGAGTGGGGGGTGATGTTGGTGGTATCAGCCTAGCGGGTAGCATGTGTGTGAAAGCTGGAGAGACAGGGAGGGGTGATGAGGTGTGGAAGGATTGACTGTATTTTCATTGTTTCGAGACTTTACCCTTTCCAAGAAAAATAATCTGCAGCTTGAATATTTTTCTTTGCTGGAGGGGGTGGACATGTGTGCAAACGAGGTGTGAATTTTTATGAGAAGGTGTGAAAGTGCGCACATGAGTGAAGTGTGAATTACACGTCTATTTGTACATTGATGTCAACAAGTCTGTGATTTTCTTCTTTCCATGTGAATGTCTCGTTCTCTCTCCCTCCAAACCCACATAGACACGTGTGGGCAAATACGTCTTGCTGAGAGAAGAGATTTGTGCAAGAACGTAGGTTTGTAAATGTTTATGTGTTGAGCAAGCTCTCCTGTGGAACAAAACCAGATGTTTTTTGGTATTCTCAGCTCATCGTGGCAGTGTTGTGATTTTTCCTCTCATATTTTTCAGGATACTTGCAGGATTATTTTAAGAAAAAAGGGAAGGCTGCAGAGCTGCCTTTGGGTGTGTGAGAAGAAAGTTATTTTGAAGAATGAATGTGTTAGAGGGCATGAAAAACATGGGGAAAACTGAGATAGTGCTTTTTCATGTCAAAGGAAGCCTTGCTACCCCATGAAGGGCCCTCCTGTTGCCCTTTTTTTTTTCACACAGGACACGTGCATTTTCTGCAGGCATCGTGCAGGCAGCAGGTTGTTTATTCAAAGTGCTTTTTTCTCAAGGAAGCGTTACCACTGAGGGGTCCTGCCTCACTCACCCCTGCTGCTTGCCTTGGCTCTGGCAAGAGGCAGTCTGAAGGCAGGCTGGTATGTCCCTACTGAGAGTGGGTGGACTTGTGACAGCCTGCCAGGGGACACGCCTGGGGCCTGTCACACCCCATGGCAGAGGAGCAGAGCCAGACCTGCAGTATGGGGTTGAGCCCATATGAGTCTGCACTGCTTTGCTTTTCCAGGGTCCTGGGGCTCTGCAGTGAGTGTTGATGTGAAGGGACAGGAACATCCCAGAGGACCCAGGCAGTGGGGAGTGCTATGGGGACCCTTGGCTCACAGAGCTGATGGGGTGTGGATTGTGTGGTTATTCTCCTGTGCCAAGAGTGATGCTTCTCTGTGTCTTGACTCCCCTGGGGGTTTGGGAAGTGCCTTGGGCTCCATCTCAGGGTGTGCACATGTGGGCCTCGGGAACACCCACTCACACCCTCCTGTGCATCCTGAGTCCTCTGGGACTATGGGGGCAGCCTCACAGTGGAGACAACCCGCGAGGGTTTGCATCCCATGTTGTACCGCATTGCTTATTGTCAGGAAGGGGAAAGACTTCCTACAGTGCAGGACCAGGGTCAGCCTGTATGCCTGCCAGCCTGCCCTGTGGAGGGACTTAGGTTTTTTTGGAGGTTTTGCCCATTTCGGTGGTTTTTGCCTGTTTTGCTGGGTGTGATGAGACAGTGCTGTCTTCTGTGGGCAGCCCTTGCAGCCTGCAGGGCTGTGGTGCTGGGACAGGGTGGTGGCAGGGAAGGGCGGCCAGCAGGACACATGCAATGGGAGCCCCATGGAAAAAGGGGTTTTGTTGGGATTTGTAGTGCGTTATCAAATGACCCCATGATGCAGATTTTCCACTCAGCAAGTAATACAATAATAAATTTGATTTGCAGTGTTCATGAGACTAAATGGTTTTTTTTGATTATGAAATCACTCTCTAGAGCCTGTTCTAGCCCAAAGCTGAGAGAGCTTTCTCTGCTCACCATGCAGTCATTGCCAGCCATTTGTGGGCTAGTCCCACAAAACCACCACTGCTGATTATCTGTGTCTGCAGTTCCAGTGGCTGGATTTGCTTGCAAGGTTTCAGGAGGCCGGTCTGCTGAGATGGGTTTGTTGGGGAGGGAGAGCACAGCAAGCGGAGAAGGGCTGTCATGGGGCTGCAGGCCCCAGGAGGAAGAGATGCTGTCCCTAGCTCTGCCACACAATGTAGGTGGGCCTGGGCTCACCATCACCCCTGATTTGCCTCAGTTTACTTTCCTGGAAGCAGCAAAGCCTTCTACCCTCCTGCAGCTGGATCGTATTTGTAGTGTCCAAATTCTGGTGTCTCCCGAAGCAGCTGTGGGAGACTGCCACAGAGCAGTTTGCAAAGGAGGCAAAAGAAGGGATAAAATGAGGCAGCTCCAGATGATCTGATATCAATCTGTCTCTTACTTTATGGCTCAGTAATTGCCTTGGCAAGAGCATTCATTTCTCTTTTCTGGTCTGTGTGAAATGTGGTATGTAAGTGTGGCAGGAGGTGGAGGGGAAAGGCATATGTTTGTTCTGTAGAATAATTGTTCTTGCCCAGAGATTAATATCAAATATTAGAGTACCAAAGGGATGTCAATGGCCTGGAGAATGGTCTTTATCAGAACACCCCTATCAGTGGTCTGGTGGGACCTGCTGTGTGCAGCTGATGCCCTGAACCTGTTTCAATGCCTTATTCTCTTCTGTGTCTCTGCAGCTCAGCCATGCGGGGGTCGCCTGAACTCCAAGGATGCTGGGTACATCACTTCCCCAGGGTACCCCAATGACTACCCCTCCCACCAGAACTGTGAGTGGGTCATCTATGCTCCTGAATCCAACCAGAAGATAATTCTCAACTTCAACCCTCACTTTGAAATTGAAAAACATGACTGCAAGTAAGAACCTTCCTCCTCCTCTCTAGTACACAGTCACCTCCTCTTCCTGCTTTTACCTAGTGGTATGGGTCTCATGCTTCCTTGCACTTGAAATCAGGCATCATCCTGAGCCTGCATAGCACTGCATTTCCTTGCCTTTGAGGAGCAAGAGCTGCCTCTGCTGACTGAGGTTGTGAGATGCTGCTTCAGACGCATAGGATGATATGCTGCATGGTTCTTAATTTACCTGATACAGCTTGAAAGCAAGAGCCAACTGGCTTTCAACCTGACCTCGACTTTGGTTAAAAGGCTGCTTGTTTTTCTGTGTCAAGGTGGCCTCACTGTCCTTTTAAACCATGCTGGGAGAGCAGAGCAATTTCCTGGTTTGTAAATAGGCAGAGGTATGGCAGAGAGAGCCCTGCAGCTGGAGACTGAGGTTTGGACAATGTGAGCCTGGAGGCTTGGGGGTCTGGGCTGGATCTGACTTCCCATAGTGCTTTTTCTGTTATGTTTGGCAAACTGGGGGGTTGGTTTTGTTTGCTTATTTTCTTTTTTTTTTTTTCCTAAGAAGTGTTTCAGAAACTAAATGTCCAGGAAAAACAATTAACAACTAGTAAAGAATAATTAATGGCATCAAAGGGCACTGTAAAAGGTGGAGTTAATAACATGGTCTCGGCAGACACATAAACCTGAGTGTTTAATCTGGAAGCCACAGACAGCTGCAGGGATGCCTGAGCATGAGGGAGCTTGGGATCTCCTAAAACAGGCCTGACACAGCAGTCTTGCTAGACATGTTGCTCCTGTTGATTAAAAGGGGGTTATATATGGAGAGGGAAACTGTTTGCAAAAAAGGACAGAGGGACAGAGGAAGCATTTATGGGGCTGCAGAATCAGTCCTGTGGAGAACAAAGAATTCAGCATGGGTTTGATGATTGATGTACTGAAGGTTATGAAGTGCAGAGCTGGATTCTCAGCTACCAAAAAATCAGCATAGCTCCTCAAACTCTAATTAAGGTGTGCTGATTGATGTCATTGGGGATCTTGTCACCCCCTACAGATTGAGCTTGGGCTAATAAGGCTTTGAACACCATGAACTCTCCCTGAAGTCACTGTGTGTGCAAGGTGTTTAGCACTTCGCAGGATCAGGACTGTATATAAAAAAGAGATAAGGTAGAGAAGGACTTAATGTGGGCATAGATGAACACAACAAGGCCTTGCAAGTTATGTGAGAATGATGATTGCTATCAGATTTTATTATTGCTTGCACAGGCTGAATGGCATAGCTTTCTCATAGCTAATGCAGTTGCCCCAAATTCACAGTAATAAAAGCTTTATAGGCCTATATTTGCAGTCTGCAGAATACGCTGTATGTATTGGCCAGGACAATGTTGTGTGCAGGGCAGGAGTTGAGCTGGGCAGGAGGGACTCCAGCTTCTGCCTCTCCAGGGTCTCAGGCAAGCAAAGCCAGGTTGGTCAGAGAGATGGAAACCCCTACGGCCACCTGTTTTTTCCTCTACCTGTAGGAAGCTGACAGTTTTCGCTCTGGGCATTGTGGACAACTTTTGCCATGTTTTGCTGCCTATGAGAGATCAGTGTCTGGTCCCAAGCTGCAGATGGTGTATGCTGGAGGACTGCCCGAGCACTGGAGATGTTGTCCCTTTGCTGCTTTCTACTTTACTGTGGCAATCTCCCGAGTGGCTGCTATGTGGTCTCATCCTTTCACTTTCTGTGTGTATGTACACGAGGAAGCCGTTAATGAAACAGGATTCATCCACTGTGCACTTGGGCTCCTGCTGGCCACAGCTGTGAGCTGAGAGTCAAGCTGTCTTAGGGTGCCTGCTCCCTCAAGCCAGCACTGCATAGGAGTGGGTTTGAAAGAGCTTCATGGACAGTGCTTGATAGGAAGCATAACAAAACAATGAAAACAGTGTGTTATAAACACTGCCTGAAAGAAATGGATAGGAGGGAGATTTTTTTTTCAAGTGACCTACCAGAAGGAGACAAATATTAACACAATGGAATGCTTGAGCATTAAGCAGTACTAATAGGTGACCATCTAGTAATAAATCTCATCTAAGTGTCAGAGGGTTTTTTATAAAGAAGCTAAGACCTCATTGCAACTGCAGGTGGGAACCTTAACAGGAATAGGAGTTCGGCATCAAAGATATAGTTCAGGGCAGGGCTCTCCTTTTGCCATCTCATCATTAATATAGAGCACATTCACACAAAGGTGACAGGCTGATGAACTCCATTGTGGCACTTAGACTGTGGGTAGACAAGGTCCCCCTGCTCTGTTGTTGCTACCTGCAGCTGTTGGAGCAACAGTGGGGCCAGTCTGTGCTTCCAGCTGCCAGAGGTAAACACCATAACCCTTTCCTCTGTTGCTTCTTCTTTCAACTTTTCATTTTACCTTATTAGGCTAAAGTTTCTCCCTCATGAAGCATAACATTTACATTCCTAAAATCCATTCAAAAGCCTACAAAAATATCTGCAAAAGTCTTTTTAGTTTTACTGTGTCCCTTCTGGCTTTCCCTGTATCTGCTTTAGATTTCCCTCTGGGATGGGAGGCATTTCCTCCTGTGTTTTGTGCAGTGCCAGGCACCCTGGGGACATTTGTGGAAAGGTCAGTGATTTCCCTTCAGCCAGCAGCTGGCCGGAAGGGGCTGCGTACCTGGTGCTGCCCGGATGCCAGAGCAGGAGCTGGCTGCAGAGAGCAGCTTCAGCAGCCTGGAGGGTGGAAACATCAGCCAGGGATGGATGCCCGAGGTGGCAGCCAGGGGCAGCTGCTCTGTCGTGCTTGTTGCTGTTGTTCTCTGGAGGCACATCTGGGCTTTTATTTTTCAGCCATGTCCAGCTGTGTTAAGAAGTAACTGCACTCCACCACCACCATCATGAAAGAAGTAATTTGGTGTAACTGAAGCCCCAGAACATCTCTCTCTTCTCTGCACTTTATCTGTGTGCTCCAAGGAAGCATTTTGCTTTGGGAGCTCACTAGGTTAAGAAAATTGGCCTCCTCCTGCTGTGGTGGCTGTTGTGTGCCAGCAGGGATCCCTACTGCAGGGAGAGTGGGCATGTGCTAACAGGGAATATGGGATCCAGGCCATTGTTTGTGCTGTCCTGCAGCTGTGGGGCTACAGCAGTAATGACAGAGCCAAAAGGGAAGTTTGATGCTCTGATAAAAGATCTGCCGAACTATTCGGAAATAATTGTACTAGCCTGTCTGCTCGCTGTTTCTTCCTCACTGTGCTGGAAGCGCAGCTGTTGCTTGGGTAGTGCAGCCCTGTGTCATCAGTATGTGTTCCCTGAACAGGGAAGTGTCATGCAGTGGAAAAGAGCACACTGCTGCTGTGGTGAAATGTTTCCACTTCCTGTGTGGCATGGTGGTAGCTGGGCAGCCTTGTGCATGCCAGGGTTTATTTGTGATCCCAGGAGTGACCTGAACCATTTGCAATGGGTGTACAACAGGAGCGGCTCTCCCCCAGGTTGTGCAGTCACGTGGCTGAACTGTGCACTCTTTCTTAATTGCCATTTTGCTCTTCTGTCTGCGCTGCTTGCTTGGAAAATCCAAGTCAGTAACCTCAGCTATGAGTGAATCATTTATGACCAACCACCTTTTCCATTTGTGTCACCCTCCCGCTGCTGATCTCCTATTTGGACTACTAAAACCTCTCTCCTGAGACTGGCTACTGACTGTGCCACCCCCAGCCACACTCAGTTGACTCTGCCAGAGGATTAGGCTGGGCCGTGTTTCTGTTGAGTACTGGGATGTTGCTGTACACACACAGCAGAGCCACGCTTCCTCCAAGCTGCAGTGGACACACTTGTGCTTCCTCTGCAAGCAGAAGACCTTTCAGCTGAGTCATAACATCTGCTCCAGAGGCACGCTGTTGTTTAAAAAAAGCCTAACTGATAATCAGACCATGCCGGCGGGTTTTTCTGTAGCCATTTCCAACACATGCTTGAACTGGGTTGCAGTTGGTGGGATCCCTGCCTGGGAAGGATTTGGGGGACCGCTGCTGTGGCTCGCAGCCCCCTCTGGTGGCACATGCAAAATGCTGGCAAAGGTTTCTGGAGACGGGACCAGTGACTCCCAAAACAGGCAGGAGATGGCAAATTGGAAACAGTCTAGAGCTGCAGTCAGGCTCTTCCTCCTGACTTTGGCTCCCGCTGTCAAGCCCTGAGGGTTTCCAGAAACAGGACCTGGGCCACTGTAGTGAGGAAATTTATGCAGTTGTCACTGTGATCTCATAAGTGCCACAGTGGTGCCAAGAGAGTTGAACTAACTTCAGCATGCTGGTGGTGTGTGCTGGATACAGGGCAGGCATGCCAGGAGATACCCCTGCTCCCAGCCTGAAGGGCAGAGGGAACCAAGATTTGGCAAGGGGAGACAGCACACTTACAGCGCCCATCTCGCAGAGCGCTGCCTGCCAGGGGACACTGGCAGCAACATGCTGGTGTTCACATGCCACGGCACAAAGGGTGAGATGTGGCTCTGCTAGCCAGTGAAGGCCTCTTACAGCAGCATGGTCACCTCCCGAGCTTCCAGGAAGCTGGGCACTGAAACGAAACAGCTGTGCATCCTTCCTAGAAAGCAGCAGAGATACTGGCTCAAATTCCTTGCTCAAGTGGTGGGGAGAGCTGCTTCCAGACCCGGTGGCCACAGACAGGCAGGCAGTTGGTGGCCGCAGCATTCAGCCTGCCTCTCTTGCCATCTCCTTTGAACAAGAACGTAATATGGCAAGAAGCCCTCCTTGCATCAGTGAAGGTTAAGAGTAGACAAGGCAGCAATTATGGACAGCTAATTAGTAAATACTTTGAAAAGTATGCATAATTAGCTTATTAGTAAACATTTTAGAAACAATGCAGTTCATCTTGAGATTGGGAAAATGCTTGAAAAAGAGAAATATGTTTGGAGCACTACAGAGTGCCTGGGCTTGGGGGTATTCTTCACTAGGATGCAAGGGGAAGTGACTGCATCTCCTGTAGCACTGAGGGAGTCAAGTTTTAACTTTGCAGAGAGG